TGCTTGCAGATATTCCTCCACCACCGCCTCCATTAAACTTCTCAGCAATGACAGAAGAGGAGGTCCGACAACTGGAAGGCAACGAAAGAAAACATGTCGAGGCCAGAATACAAGTATTAAGAAACATTCAAACATTACTTGATGCTGCCGTTGTTCAGGTATGTGTTCAGAGCACATTTGTAGTACTGAACTTTGAAATTTGAATTGCTGTAGTTCTTCCTTGGTTGGAATGGATATAAAAGAATAAATTAATCTGCGCGTGTGTGTGTGTGTGTGTGTGTGTGTGTGTGTGTGTGTGTGTGTGTGTGTGTGTGTGTGTGTGTGTGTACTATTTGTGCTTGCGTAGGTTGAGGTCTGGCTGTTTGGTCCTGCCTCTCAACTGTCAATCAACAGGTAATTACCTAAGTGTAATAAGGTGTACAGGTTCCTGAGCCTATTGGGCGTTATCATATCTACACTTGAAACTGTCTATGGAGTCAGCCTCCACCACATCACTGGCTAATGCATTCCATTTGTTAACCACTATGACACTAAAAAAATTCTTTCTAATATCTCTGTGGCTCATTTAGGCACTCAATTTCCACCTGTGTCCCCTAGTGTGTGTGCCCCTTGTGTAAAATAGCCTGTCTTTATCTACCCTATCAATTCCTCTGAGAATCTTGTACGTGGTGATCATGTCCCTCATAACTCTTCTGTCTTCCAGTGACGTGAGGTTTAATTCCCGTAGTCTCTCCTTGTAGTTCATACCTCTCAGCCTGGGTACTAGTCTGGTGGCAAACCTTTGAACCTTTTCCAGTTTAGTCTTATGCTTGACTAGATATGGACTCCATGCTGGGGCTGCATACTCCAGGATTGGTCTGACATAGGTGATATACAACGTTCTGAATGATTCCTTACACAAGTGTCTAAATGCCATTCTTATGTTAGCCAACCTGGCATATGCTACTGATGTTATCCTCTTGATATGGGCTTCAGGGTACAGGTCTGGCGTGATATCAACCCCCAGATCCTTCTCTCTCTCAGACTCTTGAAAAATTTCATCTCCCAAATGATACCTTGTAACTGGCTTCCTGCTCCCTACACCTATCTTCATTACATTACATTTGCTTGGGTTAAACTCTAACAATGATTTGTGCGACCATTTATTCCGTTTGTCTAGATCTTATTGAAGCCTCAAACAGTCCTCCTTTGTCTTAATTCTTCTCATAATTTTGGCATCGTCAGCAGACATTGAGAGAAATGAGTCTATACCTTCCAGGAGATCGTTTACGTATGTCAAAAACAGGATCGGCCAAGTGATTTTCTTTATTTACAATAAATTGTTTCCAATTCGTTTATTTGAATAATTTATATTAAGAACATAAATTTACTTTGTTGTGTTAGTTTAGGTTAGGTTAACCCACAATAAGGTGCTCTAAGAACTTTCTTCAGTTGTAGTTACATTATATTGGATTTTGTGAGGAAGAGGATTTGTTGATAAAACTTATACTGAGATAAACATCTCTCTTATCCTTCTCCCTCATCCCCAGGCCAAAAGATAGGTTAGGTAGGGTTGGTTAGGTTCGGTTATATATCTACGTTAGTTTTAACTCAAATTTAAAAAAATTAACTCATACACAATGAAATGGATAGCTTTATCATTTCATAAGAAAAAAAATGGAAAATGTATAAATTCAGGAAAACTTGGCTTATTAGGCAAATCAGACCATGCATAGTAGGCCGAGTACTGCGTTCTGGCTACTAGGTACAACCAAAACAAACACACACACACACACACACACACTAAGCTAAGAAATAAGTGCTAAGAAATGCCAGGAAACTGCAGAGTGATGAGGTTGGCAAATTTTGGTCAATAAGACAAGACCTCTCCAAGGAAGACAGAGAAAAGCTGAAAATGAACCTAATTGAGGCAAAACGTCTAAATGGGGATAGAAATGAAGAAGACAGAAATTCTTTTTTTTACAAAGTGACAGGGACTGGAAAGCTTGTGAAATGGTACATAAAAACAAAGCAACAAGATCAGTAGTGGAAGGGGGAGTAAAGAGCAAAGGAAAAGGGAACATGTTCCTGAAAATTGTATATACCAACATAGATGGAGTGAGGTCAAAAACTTTGGAGTTGCAAGATATAATCCAGCTTAGGGTCCCAGATATTGTTGCATTATCAGAGACGAAACTTGAAGGAAATATAATAAATGAAGTCATATTCCCAAGAGGCTACTCAGTTTGGAGACGTGACAGGAAAACTAGGAAGGGAGGAGGAGTGGCTGTACTGGTGAAAAAACACCTGAAGGTAAAAGAGATAATATTTGAAAACCCTCGAGATATTGACATAATGGCATTGCAGGTCTGGAATCAGGATGATAAGCTGATAATTGTAAATACCTACAGCCCACCAGCAAGCAACACATGGACAAAGGAAGAACTGGATGACAAACGAGAGGGCCTCATAATGATCATGAGAGATATTATTGTACAAGCAGATAAAGATAAATCACGACTGTTGATACTGGGGGACTTCAACTTTAGAGCAATAGACTGGGAGGCCTATGAAGCAAGAAAGGAGGACTTTTGGACATGCAGATTTGTGAACCTCATTCTGGAGACATTCTTGTATCAACACATAAAGCAAGCCGCAAGAATGAGGGAAGGAGATGTACCGTCAGTACTGGATCTAGTATTCACCAGGAAAGAAGAAGAGATTTTTGACATCCAGTACCTTCCTCCCTTGGGAAAGAGTGATCACGTCCTGTTAGACATTAAATATGCTTTAAGATATCATCTAGAAGAAAATGGGGACATTGAAACAGTTGATAAACTCGATTTAAAGAGAGGCAACTATGGGGAACTTCGAAATTTTTTTAATGAGTGTAATTGGACAGAATTGTTGCTAGGCAGGGAAGTAAATGAAATGTATGCCAAATTTTTAAAACTATACGAGGAAGGCACACAAACATTCATACCAAAACAGAGATGCAGGGCCAGAAAACAGGATTGGTTCGACAGAAATTGTGAGAGGGCAAGAGACCAAAAGACACAAAATGGAATCAGTATAGGAAGAGGCCAAACCCCCAAACATACCAGCGATAAAAGATGCGAGAAACAACTATACAGCAGTAAGGAGAGAGGCAGAAAGAAATTTTGAAAAAGGGATAGCAGATAAATGTAAAACAGAACCGGGCCTATTCTACAAATTCATAAACAACAAATTGCAGGTAAAGGATAATATCCAGAGGTTGAAAATGGGAAACAGATTCACGGAAAATTAAAAGGAAATGTGTGAAACATTAAATGAAAAGTTCCAAAGTGTGTTTGTACAAAATGAAATCTTCAGAGAACCAGACACAATAAGAATTCCAGAGAACAACATAGAGTGGATAGAGGTGTCTAGAGATGAAGTGGAAAATATGCTAAAGGAGCTCGGGAAGAACAAAGCAGCTGGCCCAGATGGCGTTTCACCATGGGTTCTGAGAGAATGTGCATCTGAGCTCAGCATTCCACTTCACCTGATCTTTCAGGCATCCCTGTGTACAGGAATCGTAGCAGACGTGTGGAAACAGGCTAACATAGTTCCAATCTACAAAAGTGGCAGCAGGGAAGACCCCCTCAATTATAGACCTGTATCATTGACAAGTGTAATAGTGAAAGTATTGGAAAAGCTAATCAAAACTAAATGGGTAGAACACCTGGAGAGAAATGATATAATATCAGACAGACAGTATGGTTTTCGATCTGGAAGATCCTGTGTATCGAATTTACTCAGTTTCTATGATCGAGCCACAGAGATATTACAGGAAAGAGATGGTTGGGTTGACTGCATCTATCTGGACCTAAAAAAGGCTTTCGACAGAGTTCCACATAAGAGGTTGTTCTGGAAACTGGAAAATATTGGAGGGGTGACAGGTAAGCTTCTATCATGGATGAAAAATTTTCTGACCGATAGAAAAATGAGGGCAGTAATCAGAGGCAATGTATCGGAATGGAGAAATGTCACAAGTGGAGTACCACAGGGTTCAGTTCTTGCACCAGTGATGTTTATTGTGTACATAAATGATCTACCAGTTGGTATACAGAATTATATGAACATGTTTGCTGATGATGCTAAGATAATAGGAAGGATAAGAAATTTAGATGATTGTCATGCCCTTCAAGAAGACCTGGACAAAATAAGTATATGGAGCACCACCTGGCAAATGGAATTTAATGTTAATAAATGTCATGTTATGGAATGTGGAATAGGAGAACATAGACCCCATACAACCTAATATATTATGTGAGAAATCTTTAAAGAATTCTGATAAAGAAAGAGATCTAGGGGTGGTTCTAGATAGAAAACTATCACCCGAGGACCACATAAAGAATATTGTGCAAGGAGCCTATGCGATGCTTTCTAACTTCAGAATTGCATTTAAATACATGGATGGCGATATACTAAAGAAATTGTTCATGACTTTTGTTAGGCCAAAGCTAGAATATGCAGTTGTTGTGTGGTGCCCATATCTTAAGAAGCACATCAACAAACTGGAAAAGGTGCAAAGACATGCTACGAAGTGGCTCCCAGAACTGAAGGGCAAGAGCTACAAGGAGAGGTTGGAAGCATTAAACGCCAAAACTAGAAGACAGAAGAAAAAGAGGTGATATGATCACTACATACAAAATAGTAACAGGAATTGATAAAATCGACAGGGAAGATTTCCTGAGACCTGGCACTTCAAGAACAAGAGGTCATAGATTTAAACTAGCTAAACACAGATGCCGAAGAAATATAAGAAAATTCACCTTCGCAAATAGAGTGGTAGACGGTTGGAACAAGTTAAGTGAGAAGGTGGTGGAGGCCAAGACCGTCAGTAGTTTCAAAGCGTTATATGACAAAGAGTGCTGGGAAGACGGGACACCACGAGCGTAGCTCTCATCCTGTAACTACACTTAGGTAATTACACACACACACACACACACACACACACACACACACTAATGTGTGTGTGTGTTGTTGTTGAACATGACCAAAAAGGTAAGATTAATAATTCTAACACGAATTTTCTCAATATTTCTTGTGTTTCTCTTCACTGTCGATGGTAATTGAAAAATCAATTCTCCAAAATTCATTTTTATTTCTAGTCTGACGCCTGAATGCGTTTCGTAATAACTTATTACATTTTCAAAGACTTTAGTTTACACGCACAACTGTAACCTGTAAACACACAAAATACATTCATATTTATACTCGCTTTGGGTGAGGTGATATGGTACAAAAGTTTTGGGTGGGGTGATTGACATTTGCACATGATAGAACACGAACCAATGGGTATAAAAACATAATGGAAGTAACTGCAGAAGGCCTATTGGCCCATACTTCCTCTTGATGCTTCTATATTGGTTCGGGGTCTTGATGTGGGTAGAATATAGTTGTGCATTAATTGGCTGTTGATTGCTGGTGTTGACTTTTTGATGTGTAGTGCCTCGCTGATGTTGAGCCTCCTGCTATCGCTGTATCTATCGATGATTTTTGTGTTGTTTGTCAAGATTTCTCTGGTGATGGTCTGGTTGTGAGAAGAGATTATATGTTCCTTGATGGAGCCCTGTTGTTTATGCATTGTTAATCGCCTGGAAAGAGATGATGATGTCTTGCCTATATACTGGATTCTTTGGGGCTTACAGTCCCCAAGTAGTAAGACTTGGGGGAAGTCATCAGAAGTCAACAGTGTAGACTTCTGACTTAAGAATTTTTCTAGTTATCCATCAGGGATCATTGTGCTAATTGCACAACATTTGTAACAAGCACTGCATCAGGTGTAATTATTTTTTTTTGTCTTGTGGCCAATTTTCACAGTTTTCCATTTGTCTTGTGTGAATACTTATCACAATCACATTATGCTACATCCTCCAAGTTCTGGCATTGCTTAGCTGTTTTCACCGCAACACATATCCTAGTGTTATAAGCAATCGTGAAATTTTTCAGACTTCAGCTTGTAGGCCAATTGTTTATATACATGTCTCTTGTCCAAATCCAACCTACTTTTCCATCATTATACAGTTTTGACAATTTGGCTGTCTAGCCTCTCCATGTGTTCCCAATCGTAAACATTCTGGGCTCCTGAGCCACACTCGGGCTGCTAAACGATGCGAATAATATTTACAAACTTTTTACGTTTTCTAAGTACTGTAATTTGTTGCATTAAACTCAGAATTGTGTGTCAAAATGTTCACAAATGAATTCTCTAGAGAATGGGTGCAAAAACAAATGTATACTGTACTATGTTATGTTCCTCTTGCAATTCAAGCACTTGGGCTGGACGATAGGTCAATGATCTCGCTTCATGCAGGTCGGCGTTCAATCTCCAACGTCCAAGTGGTTGGGCACCATTCCTTTCCCCCAACCCATCTCATCCCAAATCCTTATTCTGATGTTTTTCCAGTGCAATATAGTCGTAATGGCTTGGCGCTTCTCCTGATAGTTCCCTTTCATTCCTCTCCGTACATTTCCAACCATTTCCTAACCATACTGGCAGGCTTGGTAGGTCCCGCTAAGCAATGCTTAAAATATTCACATTTATTTTTCATTTATGTTTTCTAAGTTATTTATTAGGTTATAACTATAAATTTGGAGTCAAAATGTTTACAAATAAATTCTCTAGACAATAATGCAAAAACAAAAGTGTATTTATAATAGAATATGCGCGACAACCATGAATATATGAATGTTTTTAAATAGCAGTTGGATTATGCGTTTTTGAACATCATCGGAATACGAAAGTGTTAACCACAATACCAGATTTTTCATAGATAATTTTTTACAATATTAATTATAGTTCCTGCATATATCTTTACACCAGATCTGTGATGTTTTTTGTTTTTTATGGTGTGTTCTGTTTGAACAGGAAGTTTCCTTGGAATAATGCAAGGGAGGTTGTCAATGAATAGTTTTTAGAATGTGTTAAATAGTACAACAAGCTTGTTTCAGTATTATGACTGTGTGCCTAATTGTCTACACATTTTGTTAAGGTTGTGAAAAGTGTAGAATATGTCGCCTAAGAAATCAGCACTTGACATTGAAAGCCATTTGGGTTAATAATAAATGATAATATTGTGTGCCGTCTTCAGTCAAGCTATAGGTACACATCTTATTCATCTATGTACATTTTCATTATTACAGATGAACCAGTATGCAGCTGTTGTGTCATCACTTGATAAAACCAATCAGAGCCACACAAGTTCTAATCAGAGCTCTGATCAGACAGCTGCAGCATCAGATACCGTGATACCTCCACAACAACCTATACAGTCATCAGATCAGTCAGATGTTCACCTGTCTGTTACCTCATCACAGTTTTCCTTTGAGGAAAATCATTCATCTCTTGCCAGTAGTGAAGAGCTTCCAACATCCAAGTAAGCTGCAGCTGTTTACATTAGTTAATGACAAGATAATTAAGACAGCTAGGCTGTGTGTGTGTGTGTGTGTGTGTGTGTGTGTGTGTGTGTGTGTGTGTGTGTGTGTGTGTGTGTGTGTGTGTGTGTGTGTGTGTGTGTGTTTACTAGTTGTGTTTTTGCGGGGGTTGAGCTTTGCTCTTTCGGCCCGCCTCTCAACTGTCAATCAACTGTTTACTAACTACTATTTTTTTTTTTTTTCCACACCACACACACCCCCCAGGAAGCAGCCCGTGACAGCTGACTAACTCCCAGGTACCTATTTACTGCTAGGTAACAGGGGCACTTAGGGTGAAAGAAACTTTGCCCATTTGTTTCTGCCTCGTGCGGGAATCGAACCCGCGCCACAGAATTACGAGTCCTGCGCGCTATCCACCAGGCTACGAGGCCCCCCCCCCCCACCTGTGTGTGTGTGTGTGTGTGTATACACACTCTGTATGGTCTTGGTCTTGTAACTACATTTTATCGCAATATTTTCAAGTCTTAAACTTGCTAAAATTTTCTCTGCAATCTGTAAAATGTTCTCCATATCCCTTACCAACTAGTGAGTCGATATCATAGGGAAATGGTAATGAGGGAGGGAAGTGGGATAGAAATGTTTATGGTAGGGTGATGGAGGAAGAATGAGTAAAGGGTGAAGAAAAATAAGTAACCCATCCACTTTTTTTCCAATTGGGAAGTGCCAATTCAGCTGTTCAAAGTGTAGGTTAAGTTGTTTAAATTTCATGGAAGTTAAAAAAGATACCCCCCTCACCATCCATCCAGTCCCCCCTCACCATCCATCCAGTCCCCACCCCTCACCATCCATCTAGTCCCCCCCCCTCACCATCCATCTAGTCCCCCCCTCACCATCCACCCAGTCCCCCCCTCACCATCCACCCAGTCCCCCCCCCCTCACCATCCATCCAGTCCCCCCCCCTCACCATCCATCCAGTCCCCCCCCCTCACCATCCATCCAGTCCCCCCCCTCACCATCCATCCAGTCCCCCCCCCCTCACCATCCATCCAGTCCCCCCCCTCTCCATCCATCCAGTCCCCCCCCCTCACCATCCATCCAGTCCCCCCCCCCCTCACCATCCATCCAGTCCCCCCCCCCTCACCATCCATCCAGTCCCCCCCCCCTCACCATCCATCCAGTCCCCCCCCTCACCATCCATCCAGTCCCCCCCTCACCATCCATCCAGTCCCCCCCTCACCATCCATCCAGTCCCCCCCTCACCATCCATCCAGTCCCCCCTCACCATCCATCCAGTCCCCCCTCACCATCCATCCAGTCCCCCCCCCTCACCATCCATCTAGTCCCCCCCCCCTCACCATCCATCTAGTCCCCCCCCTCACCATCCATCCAGTCCCCCCCTCACCATCCATCCAGTCCCCCCCTCACCATCCATCCAGTCCCCCCCTCACCATCCATCCATTCCCCCCCCTCACCATCCATCCATTCCCCCCCTTCACCATCCATCCATTCCCCCCCTTCACCATCCATCCATTCCCCCCCCTCACCATCCATCCATTCCCCCCCCTCACCATCCATCCATTCCCCCCCCTCACCATCCATCCATTCCCCCCCTCACCATCCATCCAGTCCCCCCCTCACCATCCATCCAGTCCCCCCCTCACCATCCATCCAGTCCCCCCCCTCACCATCCATCCATTCCCCCCCTCACCATCCATCCATTCCCCCCCTCACCATCCATCCAGTCCCCCCCTCACCATCCATCCAGTCCCCCCCTCACCATCCATCCAGTCCCCCCCCTCACCATCCATCCAGTCCCCCCCCTCACCATCCATCCAGTCCCCCACCTCACCATCCATCCAGTCCCCCACCTCACCATCCATCCAGGTCCCCCCCTCACCATCCATCCAGTCTCCCCCTCTCACCATCCATCCAGTCCCCCCCCCTCACCATCCATCCAGTCCCCCCCCTCACCATCCATCCAGTCCCCCCCCTCACCATCCATCCAGTCCCCCCCCTCACCATCCATCCAGTCCCCCCCCTCACCATCCATCCAGTCCCCCCCCCTCACCATCCATCCAGTCCCCCCCCCTCACCATCCATCCAGTCCCCCCCTCACCATCCATCCAGTCCCCCCCCTCACCATCCATCCAGTCCCCCCCCTCACCATCCATCCAGTCCCCCCCTCACCATCCATCCAGTCCCCCACCTCACCATCCATCCAGGTCCCCCCCTCACCATCCATCCAGTCCCCCCCCTTACCATCCATCCAGTGCCCTCAACATCCAATCATCCATCCATTCAGTCCCCTCAACATCCAGTCGTCCATCCATCCAGTCCCCTCACCATCGAGTCCCGTCACCATCCAATATTTCATCCATCCAGTCCCCCTCACCATCCAGTCGTCCATCCATCCAGTCCCCCTCACCATCCAGTCGTCCATCCATCCAGTCCCCCTCACCATCCAGTCGTCCATCCATCCAGTCCCCCTCACCATCCAGTCGTCCATCCATCCAGTCCCCCTCACCATCCAGTCGTCCATCCATCCAGTCCCCCTCACCATCCAGTCGTCCATCCATCCAGTCCCCCTCACCATCCAGTCGTCCATCCATCCAGTCCCCCTCACCATCCAGTCGTCCATCCATCCAGTCCCCCTCACCATCCAGTCGTCCATCCATCCAGTCCCCCTCACCATCCAGTCGTCCATCCATCCACTCCCCCTCACCATCCAGTCGTCCATCCATCCAGTCCCCCTCACCATCCAGTCCCCCTCACCATCCAGTCCCCCTCACCATCCAGTCGTCCATCCATCCAGTCCCCCTCACCATCCAGTCGTCCATCCATCCAGTCGTCCATCCATCCAGTCCCCCTCACCATCCAGTCGTCCATCCATCCAGTCCCCCTCACCATCCAGTCGTCCATCCATCCAGTCCCCCTCACCATCCAGTCGTCCATCCATCCAGTCCCCCTCACCATCCAGTCGTCCATCCATCCAGTCCTCCCAAATACAATATTCAAGTGTGATCGTCACTAGGAGGCACTGGTAAACTGAAGTGTGCCTCGCCCGTGCCACTAGGGACCATGTGCTCGATTGACCCATACGTGTACAGTACTGTATTAACAAACTCGCAAAGCGAGGGAAAGCTCGTAAACCGATTCAGATTTTATAAAGAAATTTTGCTTGCAACCCAAAAAATTCGTAAAGAAGGATGTTCATTACCTGAGGTTCTACTGTACAGTACAGTATATCATTAGAAATACGAAGAAAATGTTATATATGCAATGCTTGCAGTTACAATGTCATCCAGAACAGGCTGAACACTTGACCCCTTGTCATGAGGTTGCCACACCCATCACAATGGCTTAGTGGTTCATAATCATGCATAAAACTGAACATATCTATGTATAGTGTGTGTATACAGTATAACACCAAAAATGGACTGTTGTATTGTTCTAAATGATAGAATTCTTGGTGAATTGGATACTTTTGATATCGTTCACCTTGTGCATTTCTGCTCTCATATTGGCATTCTTGGTGATATTTAGCGCCCTCTGATTATTCTGCACTTTGATGGTGCTACATAGCCTTCCCGGTTTGGTGCCTTCTTTTGATAATTACTTACTTGTTCTAAACAAATAACTCATCTTAATGACCAGAATATATTTGAGTATTCTGATATTCTGATGATAATGTTTATACATTTTATTGTATAAATTTCTCAAAAGACACATTATTGGATAACATTACATGTATTGCCCCCCAAAAAAGTCATCCAACATATTAAATAAATATGTAAAAAATATATTCACGGGATGACCACCCTGGGGCGATTGCTCAATGAGGGCACGTGAATCGTGACATCATTGTGAGACTTTCAGGCTTCACAATGGTTAAAGTAAGTCACATACACATTTTATTATTATTCCCATAATCAGGAAATGCATTTTAACAATACTCCTCTACAACATTAGAAGGATTACTTTTTTTATATGTGCATCAGAGTTGTTGCATGGTAAAATCAATGGTGCATCCAGAGGGTTAAACTTCTAATTGTCATACAGTACCACATCCAGTGTCACCCTACCCAGACAGAATCCAGTTTGATGGAAGTTGAGATGCAGTGCATGAGGTTGAGGATAAATAAATTTGTTCAAGTGGGAGTCCAGTGTCTTAAAATTTTTGAATACTGCACATCTATATATATATATTTATGTAGTGGAGATGGTGCTTAACTACTTGACAAGGATACCTCACTTGATTTCTCTTTAGAAGTCAGCTTGATGCTAAACTTAATGAAAAGAGGCACACCACTAATATGATCATTGATTACACAGACCCGAAGTTACTTCATCATCACCCAGCAATGAGGACAGCAGTCAAGCAGAGTTGTCGTCATGGTTAGGTGCAAGCCCTGCCACCGACACATCTACTGCCGACCCATCAGACCCAGAGGATCCACAAGAGATCAGGCGGCGACGGCTAGAACACTTCTCACACAACTCCTAGGATACTATATTGTTATATTTCTAATATTGTATGTTGTTAATTTCAGTCATGGTTAAAGAAAATATGCTTGTAAATAAACTAGGGACTTAATACTTTTTTCTTCCTGATATGTAAAAAAAAAAAAAAAAAAAAAAAAATGTGGCTCATTACAGATTAAAAAAAAATTGAAGTGTCGAATGTTATATATCTTTTAATTACTTTCTCAGTATTCTGTGCTCCAGAAACTGTTTTTTTTTTTTTTTAAGATGAATTGCACCTTTTACATAAGAGCTTTGTGTGTAGAATGTTTCTTTTCACATCTTTCTTGCTATAGGTATTTTAGTCATATCAGACTTAAGGTACTGTATTCAGTTTGTCAGTATTTCCAGAACAAAAGAACATGAATATAAACTCTGCTTTTAGGCAGTGTTTGCTGGGAAAGATCATTGGTCATTTTTGTATAAATTTTCTTCCTGGCAATTTTTTGTATCCCTGATTGTGATTAGAATTTTGGGCAGAGTAAGACAAAGTCCATCTCTTAGTCACTATTTAGGAAAGAAGATAATGCATATTTTTTGTTAAATCTAGTTCTTGAATGGTGATACAGTATTCACATATAAATTTAGTGTTTGCTGTATACTGGCATTCGGTAGACTTTTTTACTCTTATGCAGTTCAGTGATACTCATAAGTGTTATTTATTGTCATGGAAGGACTTTCACATGTAAACTCAAGTAGGACTACATACAGATTTATTTTTTCTTTAAGGCATGGGTATTACTGTATTTAGTTTCCAATGATGCAACTTTGTGCTACTAAACACCCACATATACGATTGTGTCTGTGTATGTCCTATAGTAAATTTTCCACAATAAAATGTTTTGAAAATTTCTGAGAACTTATTACATTTGAGAGACCTGATTTATTTATATAAATCTTCTTTGTTTTGGTTGGTGTGTGTGTGTTGACTTGTGTGTTGAATACATACTTACACAGTTACTATTGTCCAGATGTGCTTCTAGGGGGATTAAGTTGCAGCTTCTGGAACCACCTATAAATATTTAGCACCACCTATTTATTCAGAGTTATCATTCATTCTTTTGGACTTATGTATGGAATCAAGCTCTGCTCTTATTACTTGTTCCACATAAATTTGACCTAATGTTTGCGATTCATCTGTCCCCTTTCATGCCGAACTATGACACCTGGAACTGACCCTTTCCAGGTCAAGTCACCTCTTCTTGTCCACCCATTGAATGCCCAGAGTATTTAGTGCATCATTTTTGTGACCCTTGGAGTACTTTGCTTATCAACCAAGACTCATTATTGTAATCCCATTATTAACTGGAGCATGTTTCCCATCATCCTGGATAGTGTCTCCTTTTTGAGTAGTGTCATTCTGTGCATGCACAGACATTCCTGTTTTAACTGTGCTTCAGGATCACAGCATGGAAATGGGGGCGAGTCAACAGCTAAGTGTTGAATAAACATTTACAATATATTTAGGATGGAGTATACATGAAAAACGAGATGTATGATGGGTGGTAGGTGCGAGCTATTCAGGGGGCTTTGGGGATGCAGTAGGTGGTAAGTGTCGGCTATTCAGCGTGTTTTGGACTTCCATTGGTTGGTAGGTGTCAGCTGTTCAGGGGTTTTTGAGCATCCAGCTTGGTGCTTTCTTTGATAATTACTTGGGCATCCAGTGGATGGTAGGTGAGAGCAGATGCTGTGTAAGGAATATGGAACTGGAATAAAAATTTAAACATTTTAACATCAACTGAATAAAGCTTTACTATAATTACATTGATGAAGTATAATGAATGTAAAGCAAAATTATACATTTTCAGTCAAGAGAAAAAACAAGCACTGAAGATGTCATAATGTACAGTAGTAGTGTATGGGAGAATATCCCATCGAAGGCATCTACAGGTTACCTAATGTCCTAGAATGTGAACGAGGTTATTAATTAGCTAACTGGTGTGTAGGGGGAAAAAAGTGTTAAAATCTGTTCACAGTTTGTGTACTGAATGTTGATAACAATCATGGTGTTGAATATCAAATTATTAGTTTTTTTTTTTTTTTTAGGACGAATACCCCTGCAACCAGTGAAGCAGGCAAAGTGGGTGTTCATATGAATTTAAAATACTTTATAATTCAGTAGATAAAGTAATAAAGTAGAACACTGTGCAGATTAAACTTGCTATGATCCCACAGAGATGAAAACTACACAAGTAATTTCTTAAGTGAAAATTCTTTTAAGGTGTCAGGCGAAGAGTGACTGAAAATGTGAAGAGAAATCATACCCGAATTAGTGAACTACACAAGAATGTATGTTTAGAAAGAAAATTAGATTTTGGAAATGTGTTAATGGGAGGAGTTTGTGTGTGTAAATACATTACAGGGAATTTAAGAACACAAGTATCTTCACTTGGCACTTTAGCTGTTTGATACAAAGATTTACAATTTTATTTTATTTTAAACAAATAAGCACTTTAATGTTATCCAGGTTGTGGGTTCGAGTAACAAGATTTACGTTTGGTGCTGCTTAATGTCATCACCATATTTGATGCAAATGTACGTACTTTGAGAAACTGCTAGACTACAGTATACTGTACTAATTCATACAGTTAATTAAAAAGTAAGTATGTAGGTATCCCAAATAAGGTGATAACTCTTGGTTTAGTCAAGTTCCTTTGTGGTCTCCATGTGATATCTTGCAAATGCTGCTTCATATTAATTTAAGTGTTTTCTGCTGTCATGTTTTGATATGTTCCAAAGTTGTGTAACACTAAGGGGCTTTTCATTAGAACCATTTTTGTTGTTTTCATTTAGTTTGCTTTTCTTAACATTTCATTTAATTAAAGCAGCTTAAGGGAGTTTCTTCAGAACTGATGTGTGGATGCATTAAAGGTGTCATATATGCTGTATATATTATATACTGTAATATAAAATGCTTCAGTGTAACGTCCTAGTAGTAATGTTTATGATATTTTTATAAATATTAGGAATTTGGATTTGATATCCATCTGCAGTTATTGTCATGTTTCATTGTTCAATATTTTCATCTCTGTTAAATCTAAAAGATTGGTCCGAGACATATGGCAGTGTAAAATATCATGCTATTTAAAATTTATATAGATAGACTTTAAAATGCCCGAAGGTATGTTATAATTTTTTTTTTTCTATAGTGTGGTATATAATGACCTTGTCATATGTATATGATTTGATACAAGAACTGGTTAAATATTAATATAAGTTCATCATTTGTGATCCTTGATATTTTTGGCTGTATATTGACTTTGTTTTCTGAGAAATGCCAAATTCTTGTACTGTTAAAATTTTCAGCTTACCAAGGTAGTTTTAAGAATTATATTATATATTTTTATAATAATTAATTTGTATTTTTAAGATTACAGTACTGTACAGTATTTCATAATGTTTGTATCGTGAGATATGCAAGCATAAGAGACTGAGGATACCTTCCATGATCACTCACGTGATCAATAAATATCATGATTTTATGCCTTAACAGTAAAGAAAAGGATAAATGTATAATCTTGTATACATCATTATTTAGTTATTGAAATTTATAATGCACATGGGTATTGTATTAAACTTGAATTATTCAATAAATTCACTAGCAGAAAAGAGGTACTGAAATAAATGAGAAGCATAATATGATGGAGTATGGATACAGTAGTGATGAGAGCAAGAGGTATTGTAGAGTCCCGCTCTGTCACGTGTCAGTTGTAATTACAGGTGATACAGTTGATTACCTTGTCGTCCTTCCATATAATTGGAAGTGTCCTTGTCAGTGTAGTTTCATAATTTTTTCCTCTAAACCTCATTAATTTACTATTGGAAATTTCTTATTTTCTCTTGCAATGTTTCTCTTAGCTTTATTCTGGTTATATACTACACACCCTTAATTCTATTTTAATGCCTGAGAACTCTACACTTAAATTGATTGAATTTGTTGAAAGATGTAAACATTCCTTTTCATGAGGTAGAAAAGTTAGTTTCTTTTCAGGTTGCAAATATTTATTTAGTTCATTGAAATATTTGTGAAGGAAATTTTTTGTTTATGTTCATTTGAATAATTTGAGTCACATTTTTGGGCGTAATTGTATTATGGTAAATAGTATATATGCTAAGTATATAAAAGTCTTCTTGAGTTTTGTGTAATTTTATTCTTCACTGGGCTGGTTGTTACTCTTGAAAGTGAATACAATGTGAAAATTTACAACTGATAACATTATTTTTATTTAGCCTTTTAATACTTACTGAATTATTTAATGATGCAGTTATTTCTTATCTTGATAAAGTTTTTGAGTACCAGGTCATGAGATATAAGTGGCTTCATGCTGACAGAACAGATAAATAGCAACCCCTACTTTCTTTTCCTTGTGCAATAGGACCTGAAGTGCATTGCAAGAGTAGATCAAATTAGAGACTCGCATAAAAATCATATGGGAAGAGGTGATTGAGGGAAATGAAAAAAAATGCTAATTGGAGGTAATACATGGAAGACCTTTTCTAAATGATGTGGGCAGGATTGGGTTAAAGTAGTTTTTCTTGAACACAAGTACATACTATTACTTCAGGTGTAAATTGTTTACGTGGTACTGTACTGGGTATTTATTTACTATTTTGGCTGCAGAATTGAGCTATTATTCAATCAATAATATTGAATAATAATCAAAACCCCACCTTTCTAACCGATCTATATTTCATGTATTATGTCTGCATATATTTCTTTCTTTAACACGTGTGTACACACACAAATTCCCAGGAAGCAGCTCGTAGCAGCTGCCCAACTCCCAAGTACCTATTTACTCAACCAGTCCTCGACTCAAGTCCATTCCATCCAACGGTCGACCCCACAGATGCATTCATAAATTTTGACATGCTGTTAATTCAAAATGGGAATTTTCTCAAATATAAATTAATATTATAATATATTAGCATATTGTGCATATATAGGCATAGGTTAGGTTTAAATGTGTAAACCAGTTTTCATTCATAAACAGGGTTTGGCGGGTGCATGGAATTGCTTTAAAAGCAGATTCTTAGGCTAACTCATTGCAGAGTACTCTTAACTCTGTATTAGACTCCTGTCAGGACCTAGGTTTAGTCATCTCAGCAGAGAAAACGATAATAAATCGGCGTCCACCCAGGCAGGGAGGAGCTGTTCGTAAGATGCAACTGTGTGATGGCTCCCAGCTTGACTATGTAAACAGATTAAAATACCTTGGCATTGAGGTGCCACTGTATGGTCCTGTTGTATTCGGACATTGTCGTTAGTATAGAGACTTAAGAGCTCTCAAGGTTGTTGCAGGTTATCACTCAGGCTATGGTGCCAATGTCAGAATTGTAAAAAATGATGTACCTTGCATACATATGCACTGGTTCTCGTGCACTGACGGACTGTGAATATAAGAAGACTAGAGACCAAAGTAAGCTGGACAAGGTGTATTTCTTATGTTCTTGTTCTTTTGTTCTCATGTTCTTATATGAGTGGGATTGGCTGGTTATAGATAGGAGCTGCCTCGTATGGGCCAACAGGCCTTCTGCAGTTACCTTTGTTCTTATGTTGTTAAGGTAAACAAGAGCATGACATCATAATCAGACGAACAAACTGAAACCGTCTCCGTTTAAATCGCTGCTGAAGTGTTTCGGGTGTGATAAAGGAGGAGTAACTATAGGCAGCCAGACTGTTCCAAACCATCAACCTTCCTTAGCACAAGGAGGCAAGTGCCCGAGACTCAACAAGCGCATACTGATGCCAGCTCCAGCAATAGTGACCCATCCCATAATTGTTGGGTCACTCATTCCTTAACATAAAGTCAGAAACTCTGTGTAACATTGCTCGTAGGTCTAGACAATCATGGGACAATATTTATGGGATATTTTAATGCTAGGCATATTACGTTGGGAGACAATACTAACAACGATAATGGATGCAAATTTATATATTTATGACAAAAGATTAATTGTGTATAATACAAATACTCAAACTCATCTATTGGGCGGCAGACTTGATTATGTGGGGAGAAACCTCGTGCAAGATAATATGGAATGCTCGCTGGTAAATCACTTGGTTAGCGATCAATATGCAATATCAGCTTCCTATAAGGTACAGTGTGATGTACCTTACAGACAGAAAATTAATATTCCACGTGGTTTGAATAAGTACTTTATTAATTGTATTTAAAAGTGGTATTAAAGCTACACGATTACAAATGAACAGGTCCTCACCAAAGACGTAGTTGATACAATTGCTACCTATTACGAAACATGGGTGTGTTGGGGAACCAACCGTAAGCCTAGCAGAGGTAGACAGCGCCCACGACCACCCAAGTGGGTCCTTGACGCCGTATTTGGCAAAGAACATGAACGAGTAAAGCAGCTTGGAGATATACACAAGCACGAACAAAATCATAAGGTTTACATATACTGTATTTCTTGTTGCAAATAGAGAGATGAGAGACATGAGGAATGTAAATACGGAATAAACATTGGGAAGAGTTTGTTGCTGTTGTTATAGATTCTGCTACTCGGAACAAGTTCCAAGTAGCACGGGCTATGGTGAGCTCGTAGTGGACTTACCTGGCACAGGAGCGGGGCAAGTAGCACGGGCTATGGTGAGCCCGTAGTAGACTTACCTGGCACAGGAGCGGGGCAAGTAGCACGGGCTATGGTGAGTCCGTAGTGGACTTACCTGGCACAGGAGCGGTGCCGTAGGGAGAGAGTTGCTACAAAGTATAAACGAGTAAACATCACTTGTTGAAGTCTGGGAAAAGTTGCTCAAAATCTCTAGAAGCAACATTCTCCTTGACAATTAACATTCTCCTTGATTAATGGCCACTAAGATCAACCTTTAACTCTCTCCCAATTAACATACAGAACAAACGTAATGACACACGCCCCAACAAACAACCAACCATCAATCTTGCCTGTACAGCTATCGACGTGTCGGATCTTAATGATGTAACTGAATGGGAATTAAATCATGCACTAAAGATGAGCTAATCAACTGCTCCTGGAGAGGACGCTATTACTTACAATGTATTGAGATTATTCTTAGTAATGCACTTCTAGGTAATTAGGTAACCCACTTTTGGTGTTATACAGAATGAGTTTGTTTCCGTGGTGTAGTGGTAAGACACTCGCCTGGCGTCCCTCGAGCGCTTTGTCATGGGTTCGTATCCTGGCCGGGGAGGATTTACTGGGCGCAAATCCTTAACTGTAGCCTCTGTTTAACACAACAGTAAAATGTGTACTTGGTTGTAACAACGATTCTTCGCGGCGGGGATCGTATTCCAGGGACCTGCCCGAAACGCTACGCGTACTAGTGGCTGTACAAGAATGTAACAACTCAAAAAAAAAAAGTGAAGGAGTATTACAGATGCCTGGCCAGTGACATTGTTCCTATTCCCCAAACCACATTCAGATAATTATTGAGCCATATCTCTAACTCGTGTGTTTGTAAAGTGCTGGTTGATACCTGGTTGATGGGGTTCTGGGAGTTCTTCTACTCCCCAAGCCCGGCCCAAGGCTAGGCTTGACTTGTGAGAGTTTGGTCCACTAGGCTGTTGCTTGGAGCGGCCCACAGGCCCACATACCCACGTGCAGGCGATGAGTCACAATAACGTGGCTAAAGTATGTTGATCAGACCACACACTAGAAGGTGAAGGGACGACGACGTTTCGGTCCGTCCTGGACCATTCTCAAGTCGATTGAGAATGGTCCAGGACGGACCGAAATATCGTCGTCCCTTCACCTTCTAGTGTGTGGTCTGGTCCACATACCCACCACAGCCCGGTTGGTCCGGCACTCCTTGGAGGAATAAATCTAGTTTCCTCTTGATGTCCACGGTTGTTCCAGCAGTATTTCTTATGCTCGCTGGGAGGGTGTTGAACAACCGTGGACCTCTGATGTTTATACAGTGTTCTCTGATTGTGCCTATGGCACCCCTGCTCTTCACTGGTTCTATTCTGCATTTTCTTCCATATCGTTCACTCCAATACGTTGTTATTTTACTGTGTAGATTTGGTACTTGGCCCTCCAGTATCTTCCAGGTGTATATTATTTGATATCTCTCTCGTCTTCTTTCTAGTGAGTACATTTGGAGGGCTTTGAGACGATCCCAATAATTTAGGTGCTTTATCGCGTCTATGCGTGCCGTATATGTTCTCTGTATTCCCTCTATTTCAGCAATCTCTCCTGCTCTGAAGGGGAAAGTGAGTACTGAGCAGTACTCAAGACGGGACAACACAAGTGACTTGAAGAGTACAACCATTGTGATGGGATCCCTGGATTTGAAAGTTCTCGTAATCCATCCTATCATTTTTCTGGCTGACGCAATATTTGCTTGGTTATGCTCCCTAAACGTTAGGTCGTCAGACATCATTATTCCCAAATTCTTTACATGCTGTTTTCTTACTATGGGCACATTTGAATGTGTTTTGTACCCTGTATTATGTTTAAGGTCCTCATTTTTACCGTACCTGAGTACCTGGAATTTATCACTGTTAAACATCATGTTATTTTCTGATGCCCAGTCGAAAACTTTATTAATATCAGCTTGAAGTTTTTCAATGTCTTCAGCCGAGGTAATTTTCATACTGATTTTTTTGTCATCTGGAAAGGATGATACGAAGCTGTGGCTTGTATTTTTGTCTATATCTGATATGAGAATAAGGAAAAGCAGCGGTGCAAGGGCTGTACCCTGAGGTACAGAGCTTTTAACTGCGCTCGGACTAGATTTTATATGGTTGACTGTTACTCGCTGAGTCCTGTTTGACAGAAAACTGAGTATCCAGCGTCCTACTTTACCGGTTATTCCCAATGACTTCATTTTGTGAGCTATCACGCCATGGTCACATTTATCGAAAGCCTTTGCGAAGTCCGTATATATCACATCAGCATTCTGTTTTTCTTCTAATGCCTCAGTGACTTTGTCGTAGTGATCAAATACTGTTAGCTTAGCATTTTAAAAGCACCGAATCACCTTCTGTGGTTGGGTGTTCAATAAACCCTTGAACTATATGTTTAACACATTTCTAACCCTGTCCATGGAGGACAGAAGACAATGTATATACGCTGGTTAGCATTGTAAATGTGTGGCCACGTCTGTGGCAGAAAATAATAATAATAATAAAAGCTGCGAGAGGCACGATCTTCCCGCTCGAAATCCATGTTGGCCTGGGTTGTGAAGGTCATTGGTCTCCATGAAATTGGTGACCTGACT